AATGAAATATAAATATTTACCTTAAAAAAACTTTTGATATTAATTTAGGAAGTTCTACAGATTATGCAATTAAAATATGAAACTTTCAGATAATAAATAGTATTTTTATACTCAAAATCCATGTCACAGGTGAACTATTCAGAGTGAGTGCAAATAACTGCATTAAATAATGAATTTTTATTAGAAATAGTAGAAAAAATCAAAATTAAATATTTTATTTTTCTGAAACTACATACTTTTTGGAAGGTTCTTGTCAAATATCAAACAATTTCACCCACTAGTTTTAGTTTGGGAACAAAATATAACAATACCAATATTAGGGCCCTACACTGACTTGGTAGTCATAGGGTTAAGCGTGATCTTGTAATCTTCCATGGAAGATTTGGCCAGTTCACTATGATACTCAGCATCACATGTGTGTTCAGAAGTGTCCACTGTATCAATAAGGTATGACTCTCATTAAGCATCAGTTATAGATGTGCAAATAATTATATCATTGGTAATATTTCTCCACCCATCTAGACTGTGTTTCCTTGAAAGATTTCTACAGGTTTAGAGCATTCTTTGCTGTACATAGTGTCAAGCAATTAATTTCCTATTTCATTTCAACTTAGCAACCTTATAACCTGGTCCCAGCTTTGATATCATTTGAGCAAACCTTGGGTATTCTACATACTGAAATGTGGTGGTGGTTGCATAAATGAGACTTACGAATTCTTCATCTAATTATCTTTTCTGCAAGTTTGATGTCTTGATTGCACGTGAATCCAAGTTTGATTGAAAGCCAGGTGAGACTTGGGTATCTGTGGATCCAAACTTTCTGTTTGAGAAATGGAAGGTTATGTTTGCAAATCAGTTTCTTCACTCTCATTAGTTAATGATGTCATCTCAATTTTTACATGCTATTAAGTGCTGCTTCATTCAAACCACAAGACCCTGTAGCTCTTTCCTGCAACCTACGAATTTAACTCTCATTCCAGTTTTATCAGTTTGTAATTCTTGATAGAATTTCCAAACAGGATTCCTTTTGCGACCAGTTGAAATGGTTGCTAAATGCTTTAGCTGTGGTGTATGAGCTCAAAACATCAATGTTACATTTAAGAATTGGTGTCAAACTGTGTTCCTGAAAGTTCATGGTGTGCAAGATAATAGGAACATGGATTTAAGTTTTTTAGTCTACAAGGTTTAAAATCATGTTGTTGTTATTTTGCATAGTGAGAAGTTTTTGATTTAAATCAAGAAATCTGATTTTTATTCTTTTATATTTAAATCATGACTTAAATCAATCCACTCTGGTACTATTTATATACTAAATGAAATGTTGTCCCTTTTGGCAACCTTAAGCAAAACTTTCCAAGTTAGAATCATAAATTTTAGCCAAATTAATCCTGCTATTGAATATTTAACTGTCTGTCTAAATGGTCTGGCTGCAACATATCCTTCAGCACCTGTTGATATTTTTGTAAAATATGTTCAGCCAAGGTGTAGATTAGGATTAACAAGTTTAATTGCTTCTTGTGGTCAAACATGTGCATTCTCTATCCATGTTTTCAAGACTGTGGCATTACAATCACACCCAAAGACTTCTGTATCTTAGGAAATGCAGCCAATGAGAAAATGCTCTGTACAAAAGAAAGCTTGTGGATACACTAAAAGACAGCATCCATAATAGATTTGATAATTCCACACTAGTTCTTGGAGTTCTGGCCACATTTGAGCCAAACAGAATTCCACAGCTTAATGAACATAGCTTAAATCAGTATGGTGAAGCAGACATTTATATATTGGCTTACAGTGGCCTTGTTGTAGGCACAAAACATGACCAACTTAAAACAAAGGGTACAATTCAAACACACACTGCTGCAGATGAATTTAATTCATCCAATGACTCTGGTGCACCTACAAACTGATTAAAATATGTACATCCCATGAGGCAGTTTATCCAGTGCTTGTATCCACTGCTGAAGTTGCCCTCACCATTCCCTTGTCAAATGCTTGACCAGAGCTTTGTGCTAGTGCCATAAAAACATGCCTAAGAAACAGGATGAAAATTTATGTCAACTGTTTATAAAAATTTCAATTAATGGGCCCTTGTTTATACTAAGGAATGCCATAACATTATAAAGAATCCACTAAGCTTTTTCTTTGTAAGAAAAAGACAATGAAACTTATAAAATTAGGCAAATCAAAGTTTACAACGACCAGTTTAAAAACAATGTTTGTGAGGTAAGTTCTGTATCAGTACAAACAGATTACAACTTTAACTCTTTCAAGACAGGTCACGGGTGAAAGGCCATGTCAGCTCATTTTTATCGACTCACATTCAAAATTTTATTGAACTACTATTTCATGAATTTATGTCAATAAGTTTAGTGTCAAACAGTAGATAATTCAAATTTTAGTACTATATATTACTCAATTTCTTAATTTAAAAGTAAATATAAAAAAACACATATAAACATCGATTTTTGTGTGTCATGTCATTTGTTCAAATTAGGAGTTTGTGAAGTCAAAATACTATGGCTATAGTTTTGTATGAATTAGAAACTCAACTTACAGATATTGACAGGCTAGAATATAAAATAACGTATTGTCATTTTTATTTGCTAAGATATTGCTCATGTAATAAATCAAACTGTGGCACCCCAGACACCTTTTTCCATTTTTGGAAATGGTCCCTTATACACACTTACTTCTATGTATGACATGACTAACCAATCAGAAGCTCAGAATGTCCCCCTAGTGGCTTTCTCAGCCATTTCTTTTTTGTAACCAATATTTCAAGGAGGTAGTTGTGTCTTTAGTCTGCTCGAAATTTCATATTTTTTTTAGACTAAAATACATCTTAGTTACTAAGCTTCATAAATTATAGTGGAATTCTATGGTATTGATGTAGTAATGTATATATATAAAAAACCTAAAAAATTATTTTCTTTCATATCCTCCATGTGCAAAATTTTTATAGGCTTAGCAACCTACATCAAGCAGCAGCCGAGTACAAAGATCATAACTAGAAGAGATAATTGTTTGCTTTACTTTATTTACTGTTCTATGTTTTAAGAAAAATAAGTTAAAGAAATTATTTCAAAATAGCAACAATCTATATACATATATAATGTATAATAATAGAAATGTGAAATATTTTACAAAATACTACACTACTAAAACACAGCCAAGACAAGTTACTTTGTAATGAGCAAAAATCAGTTTTATGTTATTTGATACAGTAACATGAGTACACGCGAGACACTTCATTGTAACTTCTGTAATGTTAGCCAGGCACGGCTAAACGGTCAATATAATAAAAATAATAAATGTTATGAGATTTACGCTATTTAATCTAAACATTTATGTCTGTGTTATAATTTGTGTTCACTCTACAATGAAAAGAGGCATAATTTGTATTTATTTCCTTATTTTTTTGGTGGTTGCAAGATTAGTCAAATCTACTGAACCTGTAAAGAGATTAATTACTGAAAATAACAGATAAAATATAAAGTTTTTTCTTAAGAAATGTTTGATAACTATCTGGACATTATAAAGATTTCACATGTGAAATTTGAAAATTTTGTATAGCATAAAAGTATTTTTGATCTTAAAATTAAAATTACTTTGCACGATAGATAGGAAACATGTGAAAAGAAAAAAAAGGCGTGAGAAAAACATTGCTTTACAAACCTTAAGACTCAATAAAAAAATCTATATTTTGCATATGAAACCATTGTAATGTTTACTGATAATCTGCCAAATTTTGTTAACATTTGCTTACTTATTTAAAAGTTATAGCATGAAAACTATAACAAGTACAAAATGGTTACAAGGTCAGTCTGAGGGACCAAGCCTGTGCTGAAAGAGTTAATGGAAGCAGCTGAAGCAACACTAGCCCTCATCCTAGAATGTGACGTCTTGACTGATTCAGAATCAGATTATGATGGTTTCCTGTCTTGATGATAGTTGTGCTGTCTTGGACAACCTCATTTTATTTATCTTTCAGCTTACTGAGACTGTTCGATTTTATTTCTCACTGTTCCAGTTAAATATAATGGTTCCCTTATCAACTTGATGATAGAGATACTGATATTTTTGATAAACTATGGTTTTGACACATCCATTTTCATTAAAAAACTGCCACTTGGTATTAATTCAGCTTTTTTTTTAGGAAAACTACCCAGTATGGAGTACTTTTAAAGAGCCATATACAAGTGTTGAAATAAAACTGTTACTTAAGAGGGATATGTTAATTTATTGGTAATTTTGAAACAATCACTACAGAAATCATCAATAATTTCATGTATAAAAATGTAACAAGATGACTGTCATTTAAGAGTTGTGTGTCACTGTCAGATAGTGAAATAATTAATATTGAGGTTAAACATTAAGTATTTCATACCTCTTGTTTCCTCCTCACAAAAAATGTAGCCAACTCATGTAAGTTTGTATTTGCTAGGGGGGGGGGGGGTCTGTTTTGTTGAATTTTAGAGTTTCTTCAAATATCAAAAGAAACTTGTCTTAGTAATGAGGTGTTTCACAAATCCAAATAGAACATATTTAGGAAGTAATAAAGATAAATGGAGCCTTAATTGCATTTACCTATTACTATTAGCTTCAAAATATACCACAAACAAATCATAGACCTTTAGCTTATCAATCGTCTGGATAATACTGTAAACTTAATTAAGAATAAAGATCACTTCATCAACTTATCTATGATGTAGGAATCTTGTACATTTCTCAAAAACAAAACAATTTTAAACTATCCCTTTTGAATAACCTTTCCAGAACCATCCTAGTAACCCTCCTCTAAACTTTTTCAAATAAGTCATAATCCTTTTTGAGTAAGGACACCAAAACTGTGCTCAATATTTAAATTTCTTAGAAAGATAAAGACTTAAGATACTTTTTAGACCTTGGTTAGGCCTAACGTTACTTCTTTTGAATTTAATTATGGCTGAAGCAAAAGTACACTTGCTTATCAATATCTAATAATTTAAACTACTTACCAGTTGTCTTACTTTTTCAATAAACCTGAAGTCCTAAAAACCAAATTATTTCGTTTCGTCTGAAAAAAACTTTCAAGTTAAAAAATGTAACTTTGTCTCTCACAGTTAAACACGAATTTCAAAATCTCTCTTCCACTAAAATGGCGGACACTCTCAACTGATTGCCAGTTGAAAGTATTCAGTGGTTGAGAGTTTCAATGATGCGCTACCTACTGTACCTACCTTTTTCAATTGAAATCATATATAATAACATTTTTATCTGATAACAAACAAGTTTTTCAAAGATACTGCCAGAATACTTCCTATAATTACTTACGTTTTAAAAAATTAGTAAAAATTAAACGAATTATCCCTTCTATAGTTGTAGAAAATACTTAAATTGATTTGAAATAGTTATTCCTCTTTCAAATATCTGTTCACATTCAAAAGATAATTGAAATATTTATACGATCTGTTAATACTCCTAAATATTTGGAATCGAAAAACCACATTATGTTTTAATTATATTAACTATAAAACGTAGAAAAAGATTTTAAACAGCTCGCCAAATAGTATTTTTGTATTCTTTTGAGTATGTGGCTTTTGATAAAATTCCGTTCCCAGTTTTTATCCATTAGTATGGTTTTGCTATCCAAACGTTTATTCTTATATGCCAAACTTGATCGCGATGTTTGAACATTATTTTTATTTTTTGTTTAATTGCCAAGGAAAGAATCTGATATTTTTTGTTTTGTTTTTATCTTCATTTTAAATTAAATATAAAGGCGTATATAAATGTTGTTGTTTTTTTTATATATTTTTAATATTTGTTTCGAATCTATCCAATTTTCCACACAAGTCATACTTTTAACCCTCTCCTTCTGTTCAATTGAGTCATTATTCTATAGCTTATCTTAGAGGTGGTTAAATGTTTGTGACCTGGAAGCACTTTCAAAGTTATACTTGTTTTTCAAGTGTAAAGTAAAAATCAGCGCAGATAAGGCATTTCTGAATTTAAAAGCTTATGTATGGATATATGTTCACTTACTATATTTGTTTCTTTGTTTCAGATTTTTCGCGCTCAGTTACACACAAGTCTATATGCGCATAGCCATCCCTAATTATGAACTGATAGACAAGAAGACAGGCAGCCAGTCAACAGCAGTCACAATCAGTTCTTGGGCTACTCTAACCTGACTGAAAAGTGTGATTTCAATTTCATTCTAATGACACACCATGTCCCAAAGTGCAGAGCGCGTTTTTGCGGTAAAAAACACAAACAAGAAGCATTAAATTCAAAGTCTGCGAACGATAAACAGAACATTCTCAAAACAAAGGATTGTTAATATCTTAGCCAAGATTTCAAAATTAAAATTTTTAGTACTTTTCAAGAAGAATTTCATCTCATCTGGGCGCGGATTGACCCTGTAGTAAAGCTCTGGATTTTGGAACTGATGAGTGAACCGCGTTGGAATCCGTGCGATGCCACAATATATTCCCTCCACATTAAACTGTGAATGCGTCATAAGAGTGGCAGTCAATACCTTAGCATGGATGGTAGGTGATAAAGTGCTTCTATTGGCTGTCTTCCTTCTAGACAGTAGTTTAAAATTCGGAAAAACGGCAAATAGCCTTAGTGACTTTGCCATAAATACAAGTACAAATTCTTTCATCTAATAAAAATCTAATTTTTTTGAAAAAATATTCGAAACTTATATTTTGAAAATAGTAATTCACATCAACACTATATGGTGGCAGTTTAGCCAACGCTAGGGCCAAGCCTAAATATTTTCAACAAATTCTAAATTACTGTGCTATCCCTGTAATGGCAAGTGCGGGTATCGAGCATTTATAATGTTATATTCCCTCCAGCTTCAACAAACAGATTTCAGACCCATACCAAGAATGTTTGAAAGGGGGCTCTAATTTGTAAGATCAAAAGCCAACACTTATTTTGTGAGAAGCACAATTAGCATGCAAAGTATACTAATGCTAGCATGCCCCACGAAACAATTGTACGCCTGTTCACATAAAATCCACAAACATCCAATGAAAAGACAACAAATCATCATTCTGTTGTAACACTCCATGGGAAGCTGGCCTTGAATAAGCATAAATATGTATGTTTTATTGTTGTTGTTGTTTTATTATTGAGCACAAAGCTACACAAAGGTCTATCAGAGTATCGAAACTCGGTTTCTAGCAGTATAAGTCCGCAGACACACCGCTGTGCCACTGGGGGGGCTTGTTTTATTATAGTAAAGTACGGTACTATCTACAAGCAGAGCAGTTATTAATTTTAAATTATATTGCTAATTTAGGCAACTCTATACAACAATAGTATATTAGCTATTTCATATTTTGGCTGTCATATACGTACATGCACTATAACTATATAAGCATAATTCTTTTACGTCAGAAAAATAGGGGGTTCGGTCAAACCCCTTCCCTCCCTCTCTACGTACTTGCGTGGATCTATTTTTGTGTTGATCTAAAATGTGAAGTGGTAATATTGACAGTAAAAATAACATAGAATTCAAGGACCACAATCCAATAAACTATCAAATGAAGAACTCACAGCTAGTCCGTATATTTTAAATCAAGCCTTGCCTTAAACTCCTTTAAATTTACTTTATCTACCACATCTGAATGCAATTTATTCCAAAAGTTAACCACCCTCTTAAAAAAAAAAACTGTCTTAGCTAAAGATAACTCCTAACATTCTCACCATTAAGTGAGAAAAAAGGATGATGCATCGACACTATTAGTTCCCTTAATAATCTTCAACACTCTATAAATCTTATTTTTTTCTTAAGAGAAAACAATTTCAGAAATATTAGTCTGTCTTCGTATGAAAACCTTTCCACCTAGGGTATAATCATAGTAACCCTTCTCTGACATAATTCAATGTCCTTCCTAAGGTAAGGAGCCCGATACTGAACACAATGCTCCAAGTTAGGTCGAATGGTCACCTGTACATGGAAATTATTATCTCTTTAGAGTTATATTGAATATCTTTGTAGATATAATGTAAAATTTTATTAGTCCTACTATTAGCAACAGCACACTGCTTGCGCGGCTTAAGAGACTGATCTACCTCATGATCTACTTATGACTTGTGACTGAGCTCCATTTATAACAACCCTCTGTTTTCTTCTATTCAGATGATTTTCTATTCAATGAGCCATTATAACCCACATCTATAGAGGTCATTTTTTAACAAGCCATTTTATATGGCACTTAGTCAAGTGCTTCGTGAAAATCCAGACACACCAAATCAACTCACTTGTCCTCATCTACATAAGCAGGAACCTTAATATCATCATCTTGTTTTTCATCTAGCAACTTTTCAGGACAAGAAATAGTATATAGTCTAGAGCAGTGGTCGGCAACCTTTTTTGATCGCGGGTCAATTATTTTTTTGTTGAAAAATTTAGCATTGTGTTGGGTCAGTGATAATCATATAATTATTAATATCGGTACATGTATTTTAAATGTGTATGTTTATTTACATACAAAAAAAATTAATAGTTCGATCAGTTTGATATTTTTCCCTGAAATTGATCTTAAAATTATTCGTAGCCGTGACTCTTTCCTTTAATATCGTTGTTCTTCTCACATAGGCGAGAAATTTGAACTGAACAATGATTGTGCCCTTACGGGTTGGAATGGTGAAGCCAACTTTTGGCGGTCAGCCAAATTATTGCAGCGGGTCGTAGGTTGCCGACCACTGGTCTAAAGTAATAATAGCTGGAGACGGCTTGAATGGGTAATGAAGAAAAACTTTAATATAAGTTTAACATAAACCTGATGTACAATGTATCGACAAGGTTTTGTCATCATCATGGAGGTGATTGTTCCAAATGTGTACGAATTTCA